GGTGTGTGTATGTGTGGCCAGCTCAGCCCACCAGGGGGCGGGGCTGGCTGGCATGTGGTGCTGGGGGATTGAACCACGGTCCCCGATGCTTTGCTAAGCTTGTTCTAAGTAGGCGCTTTAGACCACTGAGCCATCTCTCCAGCCCCCAATCAATCAATTTAAAACACACAAAGCACTGTGACAAGGACTAGAGGGTCTACCAGGATGGATCCGAGTCTAGGCTTGTTTCAATGCCAAAAAAGAGCTAGGCTTTCCTCTGCCTTACAGCGCGCAACATTAAAGTGCATAAAAATGTACAGGGCACTACCAAGCAGGAAGTACTGTACACATTTGAAAGCTTAATCAAGAAGTGCTGGCCCCAGTAGAAATGAGAGATGCTATGAGTTTAATTCCCAGCACTGGCAAGGAAGAAAGTGAGGGAGGGAGGAAGGAAGAGAGAAAGAAAAAGATAACTGAGTGTAGTAACACATACTTCTGATCCCAACACTTGGGAGGCTGAGGCAGGATTTCTACAAGTGTAAGACCACATTGGACTGCACAGTGAGACCCAGCTTCAAAGGGGGGGAAAAAAAAAAAAAGGTACATGCCCCTAATTCCAGAACGCAGCACTGTTCTAGGCTAGCCTAGGCTACATAGTGAGACCTGGTCACAAACAAGTGAGAAAATAGTTCCTGTCAGAAAGAGAAGGGCTCTAGGCTCACCAGGGTGTAGCTGAAAATGGGGCACAGTGGATGAACTGTGCTGGATGAACATCCACTGCATGGGTGAGAGAGTGTTAGCAGGTGCTCCAATAAGAAGCACGAAAACACAGCAAGGATGGTGTGGATCAGGGGTGGGTTTCAAGGAGGGAATGTCCTGTACATTCCGGCTCCCCCACCAGTGTGACACCTTGCTCTGTGGGTGAAGGGTAGCATTAGTTGCTTGACAGCTTAGCTTCCCAGCTACAGCAAGGGAGCGAGTGACGGAGCTGCAGTGTCTGAGGCTATATGCACAGGGGAGGCAGTGGGCAGCTGGTTCATCAAGGAAGCTCAGCTTGGAGACGTACCGTAGGAGATGGTTGTCTGCACTGGCCCAGCAACCCCTCTGCTCCTGCCGGACTAGCTGCCTTGTTACATGTACAGATATCCTAAAACACGTAAATAAGTACTTATGAAAATACCCAAATAAAAGCATAAAAGCAATTAACAAAGCCCAGACTGAAAAACGAAAAGTGACGAATGCTAATACTTTTCCCATTGAGAACCCAGGAGAGGGCTAAGACATAGAAACAAACCCCCAGGATTAACATTTCTGAAAGTCTGCAAAGGTACATGCTGCCTAGATGGAACCTTTGAGAGGTGAAGTCTTCAGATTCACTTTGGCAAGACCTAGAGAACCTACTTACTACTGACAGGAAAGTACAAATTACTTTAATGATTCCTATGCTCTGTTCCAGAATAAGAGCTCAACAATGCTCACCCAAGTTACTGGCTCTGGTTCTAATGCATTATACTGAAACTGAAAACATGTTGCTTTGCGAGATGGGGGAAGCACGGACGGTACCCACCAAAGGAGCTACAGTGCTGGAGGGGCTTACACTCCACCAGGGACCTGGAGGTCACACTCTCTCATTGTAACAGGAAAGATTCATGCTGGACAGCAGTGGAAGAACCACTGTTTCTCTTTTTGCTGTTTTTTTTTTTTTTTTTTTTTTCAGAATCAGGGATTGAACTCAGGCCCCTGCTCTTTGTTGTTGTTGTTTTTAATGTACTTCAGGCTGGCTTTGGCCTATGTGGGCAAGGCTGGCCTCAAACTTGCAGTGATTCTCCTGCCTCAGCCCCCTGAGTACTGGAATTATAGGCATGTGCCATCATGCCTGGTTGGTTTTTGTTTCTGAAATAGGGCCTCCTTTTGTAGTTCAAGCTAGCTGAGATCCTCTGGCCTCAGCCTCCTATGTGCTGGGATCACAGGCCTGTGCTAGCACACCAGGCTGATATGATTTTTTTCTCCTTTTTCATGTGTGTTTGTGTGTGTTTCACCTGGGCTGAACTCTTAGGTTGCTGAATAAAAGAGGAAAAATGACACTTTCACATGAGTGTGAAACTACACCAAAAAGTAGTTTTCCTTCCAGGTAAGCTCCAAGGAAAACACGCACAAATGGAGACAAGGATGTTCACATGCAGGCAAGCTGGGCTTACATGGGCACTTGGGATTCTGCCTCATACCAGCAAAGCTCGTACCATCTTCCCCAGCAGTTTCGAAATAGCTGACCTGGGGCTGGGGAGATAGCTCAGCGGTTTAAGCACCTGCTTGGCAAGGTTAAAGTCCTGAGTTTGATACCTGGTACCAAAAAAAAAAGAATGAAATAGCTGACCTGGCCTTCACAGGTGACTAGGAGAACAGTAGGAAGCAGCTGACATCTGCCACTCTACATGGCAGACGAAGGGCTCCCCGATTGTGAGGAAATACAAGTAACAGCCTCAAGGGTCTGTGAAGGCCCCTGTGCAGTGTTTTGCCAGGTTTCACGCTGCTGAGACTATTTGCATCCATGCCCAGAGTTTGGAGGATAAGCCTGGCTATTGGCTGAGGATGCGCTCTTCTCATTTCATCAGCATCCCAGCTTGGACTCACTTCTACCTACACTGAACAAATAACACCTGAGCAGGAAGCCCAGCACAGAAAACTTGCTTACTCTGAGCTTTCATGTTAATACATTAATACAAAGGGAAGGGGGCTGGTGAGATGGCTCAGTGGTCTAAAGCACCTACTTGGAACAAGCTTAGCACAGGGACCGCGGTTCAATCCCCCAGCACCACATGCCAGACAGCCCCACCCCCTGGTGAGCTGAGCTGGCCACACACACACACACACACACACACACACACACGAAAAAAAAATTAAAAAAAAAATTAAAAAAAAAAATACAAAGGGAAGGCCAGAATTAAGAACATTTGGGGTGGAAACCACATCATACCCATATTTCCCCTACCCATATTTCCCAGAAGGCCTCAAGAGTAAAAGAAAACACACAGTGGGCTTTGCAGTCACTACTTTACTCTGCCTTCCTTGGGTCTGCACTGGGGCAAGGCAAAGCTGGGTTCAGGCAAAAGAAGACGCAGGAAGGAAGCCTGGCCTCTAGCACTCCACCCGCCAGCTGCAGGTGCTCACAGGCTAGGCAGAGGGGGCAGAATGTCAAGTGTGGGAAGGGCTGTGAGGTTTTTCTGAACCCCCCCAACAACACTTGCTAAGTTTCTACCTGAGTTATGCTCCAGTAAAGAATCCACTTTATAACTAAGAGATTTCATAACAATATCAATAGCTACATTTACTTCACAAAAACAAAGCAGACAAGATGTTCGCATCAGGACAGCCACCTGAGCTGTAGCATTATTTCCATAGAAGTCTTCATGTCTCCCTCCCTCCTCAAGGGTACTAAGAACCAGGCAAGGAAGACAAACTTCAGGAGCTTTCCCAAAAAACACAATGCAGGGATAGGGATCCAATGTGCAAAGTCTTTTATTTAAAATTCTGAAAAGTTAAGACTTATGACTACCTCATCTACGCCATTCCTATTATAAGGAGGAAGGGCGCGTCTGAGCTCATGCACAGCTGCAGTTTTAGGACTCTGTAGGCACTTTAGAAGTGAAGCTTGGCTTCAAAATACAAACACTAGGGGCTTTGGCTCAACCTTTTAATATAAAAAAGTCATTGATGTACAAAAATGTGAAAGTTTGACAATGACAACATATGAAATCCTGTGGTTGAAAGTCCCCTCCAGTGCACTCCGTGGTGCACATGTGCCCACCCATAGATTCTGGCGTGGAAACATAAACTAATGCCAACCAGTGCCACCAAGAAGTGCCAACGTGTGTATCCTTCACTCCATCAATCACAGACCCAGTATCCACTCTGAACGCTCAGTAACAAAAAGCACAGCATCTTCCCAGGAACAGCAAGGCAGCCTTCTTACTCACGATGGAGCAGCACAAACACACCCAGTAAGAAAAGGACTGCATACTAGAAAAGAAACACAGAACAGCAAGTTACAGAAGCCTTTTCTTTCTATCCCCACTCCCCTCCTTTTTCTTCCCTTCTCCTTGCTGTTCTTTTTTGAGGATTAAACGCAGCACTTTTCATTATTTTTTAATTTGTGTGGGGGGTACAGTGATACCTTAGTTCACAAACTGTGATTTTGCAAAATATGGCCGTGTTTGTGTTTGTGTGGGAAAGATGGACACAGTTGTGTTTGTCACCCAATACAGGTCACAAACAAAAAATTTTGCCAAACTCTTGTTTGTGAAACAAATCGTGTGTAAACAAAAATGTTTGTGAACCAAGGTACCACTGTTTTTTGCTTTGTTTTAAGACAGGGTCTTGTTATGTACATAGTTCAAGCTGGCCTCAAACTTGTTGTGATCCTTCTGTCTCAACCTCTGGAGTGCTAGGATTATGGGCATGGTATGTATACCTTACACCTAGCTTTTTTTCTTTTTTTGTCTTTTAGGCAAGGCTCTACAGGGTGTTCAGGGTCTCACTACTAGATCAGACTTGTAGTGATCCACCAGTTTACAGCCTCCCAAGTGCTGGGATTACAGGTGTGTGCCACCATGCCCAGTCTCAATTACCAGCTCAGTGCACCCCGGGGGGGGGGGTGGCATGGCAGGCCTGGGATTGAACCCCCCCTCCCACCCCCGCCCTGCGCCTGCTTGCAGGCGCTTTAATCTGCTGAGCTATTTGGCCGGCCCTACCTTTTTCTTTTTCTTTTAAGTAATAAGATCTCACCAAATTTCCCAAGTTGGCCTTAAACTTGTAGTCTTTCTGTCTTACTCTCCTGAGTAGCTGTGATTACAGGACATGTTACCATGCCTGGGACTTTGTGTTGTTTTATTTGGTGCTGGGGAATCAAACCCAAGGGCTTACTAGGGTAAGCTAGGTAAGTGCTATACCCTCAGCCCCAGAGAGGCTTTTAAAAATTTTAAGTCCTCATAGTTAATTAACAAACTGGCTTTTGTGATCATGATTAGTTACTACACTATTCAATTATTCTTTTGTACTTTAAAATTAATGTAACACTTTTCAAAATGAAGCAAAAGTTCACTCTTTTGAGGAGACTAGTCCTAGGGCCTCTTGCCTATTAAGCACATGCTCTGCCACTGAGCTACGCCCTAGCCCAAGATCACATCTTTAATGAGACACATAGTAGAAGCTCTCACCTTAAATTTAGGGTAGTCATTCATGAGGATTGTCACAATTCCAATATAAGGAACAAATCTGCAACAAATAAAAAACTAATCACAGATTTTCCCAAGTAAAACAGCTGTTACTTACTAAACATTATCAGTACATTCTTCCATAGACTAATTTTCTGTTTATAAAGCCCATTTGTACATATTATCCTATCTGCTCCTTTCCACAGTAAGTGAAGGCAAGTTAGGAGTTCACCATTGTACAGATGAGGAAACAAATGATCAGGCCCACCACGGCACACAGCTGTCGCATGGGTGAGCCACTGCAGATCCAGGTTTCAGATCTCCACTGGCTGAGACACTGCCAGAGGCTGGGCATGTCCTCAGGACCCACAAGAGCTATCACTCCAAGTAGGGAGCCAGGCAAACAGCCAGAACAAGGAACTTGATGTTAAGTGGCCAAAAAAGCAAGTACAAAAGCTCTGAGATAGACTTGGATTTCACCACCCTCTCATTTCTAAATCATATGTAATCTGGTTTGGGCCTCTTAGCTCTGAAACTCTTCTAGAACAGTTTTTAAGCACCTATGTGGTCTCAGCCTCCATCTTTTACATTAGTTTTTTTTTCCCCTATTCCCCAAAAAGTTTGTCTCCGAAAGCTAGGCAAAAACACTTGTCAATGACAGAATCAAGAAGCAAGATCCAAGCCAGGTGTAGTAGCATATGCCTGTAATCCAGTACTGGGGAGGCTGAAACAGGAGGAACACTGGCTGGCCTGGGCTACATAGTGAGTTCAAGGTCAGCCTGAACTGCATAATGAGATCCTGTCTCAAAAACAAAACAAAACCCCAAACAAACAAAAGAAAATAAAAAGTAAGACCCTAACCAGGCATGATGGCACATACCTATAATCCTAGCGCTTAGGAGGCTGAGGCAGAACAATCCTTGTGAGACCAGCTGGGCCTACAAAATGAGCTCAAGGCCAGTCTGAACTGCATGAGACCCTGTCTCAGAAAGACAAAACAGGCCTCCAAGCACCAGAAAAAAAAAAAAAAAATCCTTCAAAAAGACAAAACAAACACCCCGCCCCCATAAGATCCAATAATACATTGTATACAAGACACATTTAATTCAATAAGAAATTCACAGATTAAAAGTCAAAGGATAGAAAATAATACTCCATGCAAAATGAACCTGGAAAAAAGCAGGGGTAGCTACTTTCTTTGTGGACAAAGTGGATTTCAAGCCAAGACTGATTAAGAGACAAAAAAGGTCGCTTATCCTTATAAAGGGAACAATTTTTTTTTTTTTTTTTTTCGGAACTGGGGATTGAACTCCGGCCCTTGCGCTTGCCAGGCAAGCATTTATTGTACTGAACTATCTCCCTGGCCCCAAGGGAACAATTTAAGAGGGAGAAAAAACAATCATAAATATGTATGCACCAAATGCCAGCAAATATTAATGGATGAGAAAAATTAAATACTAATACAATTATAACATAGGACTTTAATACCCTACTGTCACAAATAGATCAACTAAACAAAAACAAAACAAAACAAACAAACCAAAAATCAAAAAACAAAAACCGATAAGTATCAGAGCTAAACCAAACTTTTGAACAAATCGACTTAGATGTCTACAGACTGGTTCCATCCCACATCAAGAGTACACATTCTGAGATGCACATAGGACATTCTAAAGTAGACCGCATACTAACTCACAGAACATGCTTCAGTGAATGCAAAGGAATTAAAGTTATCCCATGCACATTCTCAGATCACAGTGCAATGAAACTAGAAATAAAAGGCAAAAGAAGCCACAAGAACTTCATGGAAGAAGTTAACCTTATGAACAGATGAAATTAAAGAAGAAATTAGGAGCAGTGTGAAGAAGAAAGGAGGACGACCTGTAGGCCACCCAAAGCTGCATGCCATTGCATCTCATGTCTAGTGCCTGTGACCTACTGCCGTCACCACCATGCCCAAGAGAAAGGCTGAAGGGGATGCTAAAGGTGAGAAAGCCAAGGTGAAGGATGAACCACAGAGAAGATCTCCAAGGCTGTGGGCTAAGCCAGCTCCTCCAAAGCCAGAGCCCAAGCCTAGAAAGGCCCCTGCAAAGAAGGTATAGAAGGTACTCAAAGGGAAAAAGGGAAAAGCTGGTGCCAGCAAGGATGGGAATAACCCTGCAGAAAATGGAGATACCAAAACAGCCAGGCACAAAAAGCTGAAGGTGCTGGAGATGCCAAGTGAAGTGTGTGCATTTTTGATAACTATGTACTTCTGGTGACTGTACAGATTGAAATACTATTTTTTATCAAGTTTTATAAAAATGCAGAATTTTGTTTTACTTTTTTTAAGCTTTGTTGTTAGCACACAAAACAGTTCATTGTTGTTCTGTGGGGAAGGAGCATATATTAGTAGTACAATGTCTCCAAAGCTGGACTGATGTGGAGAAGGCACCTTTCCTTGGTGGTTTTGAGAGACTCTTGGCTCCCAGGAGGGATTCCCTGATGTTGACACATATGACCACCTTGGCATAATGCCTTGTCATATGGGACAGCTCCCAGTTCATTTTATGTCCTCCTTTCCTCTGCCATCAGCATAGGCTTAACTCCCTTAAGTCCAGAGACCTACTGGGATCTGATTCCCAAAAGTGATGTTACCAGTGTGTCAGGCAATCTGGACTTGCCAGTAACATTGAGATAGTGTCCCACAAGAACAATTGATTTCTTTTTCTAGATTCTGCCATTTTCATTTCCTGAAAGTCAGGGTAGCTTGTGAAAAGTTGTTAAACAACATGCTAAATGTGAACTGTCAACACTAACTTTAAACTTCCATTACTTTAGAGCCTCAAATGAAGACTTAATTGGATTTTATAGTGGCTTTCTGGTTTTTGGTAGTCCATTCAAGAAGGGAGGTTTTTTTTTTTTTTTTTTTTTGGTGGAACCGGGGATTGAACTCAGGCCCTTGCGCTTGTCAAGCAAGCGCTTATTCTACTGAGCTATCTCCCCGGCCCCCAAGAAGAGAGTTAGAAAGTTGTTGTATACTGTTAAAGATTGTGTGCCTATGTCCTGCCTGAAATACCATGACTGTTTATGAAAAGTATCTTTAATAAAGCTGGATATAGTTTAGAGAAGAAATTAATTTCTATAGTTAAACAAGGATAATACAACATATTGGAATTTTTTTTTTTTTTTTTAATGTATTTGGTACAAGGTCTCATTACACAGCTCAGACATGTAGTGATCCTCCTGTTTTCAGCCTCCCCAGCACTGGAATACAGAAGTGCGCCACTATGCCCAGACTCGGTGGTGGCTCAGCGCACCTGAGGGTGGGGCCAGCGAGGCATGTTGCGCCAGGGATCGAACCCCAGTCCCTGTAATTGCCTAAGCAGGCGCTTAGCATATTGGAACTTTCGAGATGCAACTAAAAGCAATCCTGTAAGGGAAACTTAAGTGGTGAATTCTCGTATCAGACAAATAGAGTGATCTAAACAACTTAATGGTGAACCTCAAGCTTCTAGAAAAAGAACAAGTCAAATTCAAAGCTTGTATAAGGGAGAAAATTCTAAAGATCAGAGCAGAAATTAATGTAATGGAGACTAAGAAAATACAAAGGATCAATGAATCAAAAATGTGGTTCTTCAAAGTTGGGGGTCGGTGAGATAGCTCAGTGGACTAAAGCACCTGCTTAGGCAAGCTTAGGCAAAGGCAGGGACCAAGGTTCCATCTCCTCTCTTACCACATGCCACACAAGCCCCAACACCAGGGCAGGCTGAGCTGGCCAGAGTCGAGGTGTAGTGGTGTAAGCCTATAATCCCAGGCCTGGGGAGGCTGAAAACAGGAGGATCACCATGAGTCCAAGCTGCACAGGGAGGCCCCCCTGGATCTCCCCACGACATCTTTTTTCTCTAGCCAATGCTGTCCTTGTTTATAGAGGCCTCGATCACCAACAGCATTATTATCTCCTTTGGTCAAAAGTTGATATGCCCATTTTGCTTTTCATGAATCTTCAAGACTCGATGAACTATAGGAATCTCTCTTCCTTCTATCCTAAAAACAACAATTTCCCCTAC